TCGTCAGGAGAGGCTCTTCTCTCGATCCCGCCACTCTCGCAAAAGCGGTTGGTGAGGACGAGAGACAGGGCCTTCTTAGCAGTGGCCCCCCGTCTGTGGAACTCCCTCCCTAAGGACATCAGGTTGGCCACCTCCCTCCTGTCCTTCAGGAGACAACTAAAGACCTGGCTGTGGGCCCAGGCGTTCGACTAGAGGCATTGACTAGAGAACAATGGTAGCTTGGAAAGGAAACTTGAACATTACGACATTGGATTTATCTGGCTGGATCTTGGTTTTAATGGCATGTTAATTGAATGTTAAATGAATGTATTGATGACTTTTATAGTGTTTTAATTGATCCTTCTGTTTTAATCGAATGTATATGTTGACAGCATTACTGATGCTTATGTAAAGCCACCCTGAGTCCCCTTGTGGGAGAAGGGTGGGGTAGAAATGAAGGAAATAAATAAATAATCATCCTAGTATACATATTATTATATGGATTATATGAGTCTACACTGCCATATAAACCAGTTCAAAGCAGATAAGCTGGATTTATATGGCAGTGTAGAAGGGGCCTGAGCGGCCTTATCGCAGTAGCAGCATGTCATTATAGTGGCAAAATAGCCAGTATTTTATTTATCGTGTCAGTGCAACCAGTCAATTATATTACATTTCTAACAGAACAAAGCAAAAAAAAAAAAAAGAGAAAAATACAAAATTTGTGAGTTTGGTAGTTGATTAAATGTCCTTTGACCAGTATCTGGCCACTTGGAGTGCCTCTGGTGTTGCCACAAGAAGGTCCTCCATTGTGCATGTGGCAGGGCTCAGGTTGCATTGCAGCAGGTGGTCAGTGGTTTGCTCTTCTCCACACTCACATGTCGAGGATTTCACTTTGTAGCCCCATTTCTGAAGGTTGGCTCCGCATCTCGTGGTGCCAGAGCACAGTCTGTTCAGCGCCTTCCAAGTCGCCTAGTCCTCTATGTGCCCAGGGGGGAGTCTCTCATTTGGTATCAGCCATTGGTTGAGGTTCTGGGTTTGAGCCTGCCACTTTTGGACTCTCGCTTGCTGAGATGTTCCGGGGAGTGTCTCTGTAGATCTTAGAAAACTATTTCTAGATTGAAGTCGTTGACGTGCTGGCTGATACCCAAACAGGGGATGAGCTGGAGATGTCTCTGCCTTGGTCCTTTCACTATTGACTGCTACTTCCTGGCAGATGTCAGGTGGTGCAATACCAGCTAAGCAGTGTAGTTTCTCCAGTGGTGTAGGGCACAGGCACCCTGTGATAATTCGGCATGTCTCATTAAGAGCCACATCCACTGTTTTAGTGTGGTGAGATGTGTTCCACACTGGGCATGCAGCAGAGTAGCACAGCACAAGGGCAGATGTCTTCACTGTGTCTGGTTGTGATCCCCAGGTTGTGCCAGTATTGAAAAGCATGTATTAGAAAGCATGTGAGAGTTGTCAAAAAATGTAACTTTCCCAAGCTTTTCTTGTATTTGTGTGTTGTATTGTCCCCCCCCCCCCCATCCTCACCATGCAGTAGTTGTGTTGAAACTAAATGACATATGGATGAGCATAACTCAAAAGACAATAGTTGCTTCCATATTGTAGAATTAATGCAGTTTGACTTCACTTTAATTGCCATGGCTCGGTGCTAAGGAATCCTGGAAGTTGTAGTTTTGTAGTGTCTTTTGGCTTCTCTGCCAAAGTGTAGATGGAATTCAGAACCTGATCTCATGCATTTGTGTGCATTTGGGCATCCATAGTTTTGCAAAAGAACTTAATCCTTAAAACCCCCTTGAGAGTTGTCTAGCCTGTGGGCTTATTGTACGACCAAATTAAAGGACGGAAATAAGGAGACAGCATAAACTCCTCTGGCTTCCAGCTAAAGTGATTAAATCCCAATGGAACAAGTGAGTCACAACCTCTTGAAATCACATTACTTTTAGGTAGAGTCATACCTTTAACTGGATCAGAGCCTTTGTCTGTAGCTGGAAGTTGCAACTCAGCTGATGTCTCGTTTTTTTTTTCCTGTTAAACTCATCAAAGCAGTGTCATAATGTTAAAGCTTCCAGATGAGCAGGGCAGATTTAGGCCCCTTCTACGCCACTGTATAAAATCCAGATTATCCGCTTTGGATTATATGGCAGTGTAGACTCAGATAGTCCAGTTCAAAGCAGATAATGTGGGTTATCTGCCTTGATATTCTGGATTATATAGCAGTGTAGAAGGACTAATAGAGGGCTGATACATTTGCAAATCAGACTCTGCCAAATGCCTTGTTTTTGCAATTCAGGTTTTCTTTGGGTTCTGGCGACTTGGGTTCTTTTCAAAGCAAAAAGCATTTTGTTTGGGAAATCTTCCTATTCTAGGTTCATATTCCTATTTTTGGAAAGCTAATGCACCTTCTTGGCGAACAACCCTTCTCTTATAGTATATGACAGCATCTTTCTCCATATCTTAAGCCATTTTAAATCCTTGCGTGTTACTGTTTATATGTGAGTTATATTTATTATTATTATTATTATTATTATTATTATTATTATTATTATTATTATCTTTATTTGTACCCCGCTACCATCTCCCCAAGGGGCTCGGTGTGGCTTACATGAGGCCGAGCCCAAACACAACAACAAAAGCAATAAAACATCAATACAAGCAATTAAAAAACATAGACAATAAAATATGCAACGTTACCAAAAAAGCAATTGTATTGTTTTTGCTTATTGTATTTTGTTTTATTGATGTGTAAGCCGCTCCGAGTCCCCTTGGGGAGATGGTGGCGGGGTATAAATAAAGTGTTATTATTATTATTATTATTATTATTATTATTATTATTATTATTAGAATGTGTGCTTGTGTAGCTAGACAGTATAGGGGAAGGGTATTGATGTCTTGCACTAGCCATATCGTTACAGTGTGTTGGTTCATGTTATAATTGCCCATTTTCAAGCAACACAGAACACAAAAAGAGACTGCAATATGTTAAAGGTTGTGTCTGATAAAGAAAAAAAAATGTTATTGTCCTTTAAAGCATTTAATTATCCAATAATTCATCTACCCTTTAAAGGTTTCATCAGAAATACGTACTTACTTACTTAGGCGATCCCTCGTTGTCCGAGTAGGATAGTCTTCCAGGATCCGTAGGTGACTGTGGAGCCCTATTCTTGATCTGCATGTTCTCCCGCAGTGAGGGCATTGATTTTCAAGTGGAAGGCAGTCCTGGTCGGGGTTGGCTTGACACGTCTTCCTCTTGGCACATTTCTCTCTTTCACCCTCCATTCGTGCCTCTTCAAATTCTGCAGCACTGCTGGTCACAGCTGACCTCCAGCTGGAGCACTCAAGGGCCAGGTTCAAGGCCCAATTCTCAGTGTCTATGCCAGAGTTTTAAAGGTTGGCTTTGGGCCCATCTTTAAATCTCTTTTCTTGCCCTCCAACATTCCGTTTTCCGTTCTTGAGTTCGGAGTAGAGCAACTGCTTTGAGAGACGGTGGTTGGGCATCCGGACAATGTGGCCGGTCCAGCAGAGTTGATGGCGGAGGACCATCGCTTCAATGCTGGTGGTCTTTGCTTCTTCCAGCATGCTGACATTTGTCCGCTTGTCTTCCCAAGAGATTTGCAGGATTTTCCGGAGGCAGCACTGATGGAATCGTTCCAGGAGTTGCATGTGATTTTTGTAGACAGTCCACATCTCGCAGGCATATAGCAGGGTTGGGAGGACGATAGCTTTACGGCCAGGGTCCATCTTATCTTAGGGACCGCCTCTCCTTCTCCCATCATAGGAGGTCACAACGACCAGCCCAACGCGACTTACTCGATATACCGGGTCCTAGAGAAGTGCGCTTGGAAAGGACCAGACGCAGGTGGGCTTTTTCTATTTCTGCCCCTGCCTTATGGAATTCCTTGCTGCCCTACTTGAGAGCCATGCGTGAATCCGAACGGATTCTCCCCTATGAACCATCAAGGTTATTAAGATCTTCCAGAGGGGCCCTGCTCTTGGTCCCACCACCCTCGCGTTTGGTGGGGACAAGAGACAGGGCCTTCTCAGTGGTGGCTCCCCAGCTTTGGAACCCCCTCCCACTAGAAATTAGATCTGCTCCCTCCCTCCTGCCTTTCAGGAAACTACTAAAGACCTGGCTCTGGAATGTGGCATTTGAGGACTGAATCTATAACCTTCATCCACAAGGAAGGAGGATGATGAACTGTGACTGTATTGACGATTTGGCTTGGGTAATTGTAATGATTATGTTTTTTCTGTATTTTATTGTACTATTTTAATCTGTAATGATGTTGCACTCTGTTGTACTTGTATATTATTGTATTTGCATATATGTTGTAAACCGACCTGAGTCCCTCGTTTGAGGTGAGAAGGCCGGTATATAAAACTTCCAAATGAATAAATAAATAAATTTATAAACAAGCACCTTGGTATCCCTACAGATGTCCCAGTCCTCAAACACCCTCTGCTTCATTCGGAAAAAAGCTGCACTCGCAGAGCTCAGGCAGTGTTGTATTTCAGTGTCAATGTTGACTTTTGTGGAGAGGTGGCTGCCAAGGTAGCGGAAATGATCATCATTTTCTAATGTTACACCATTGAGCTGTATTTCTGGCATTGGAGAGAGATTGGCGGGTGACTGCTGAAAGAGCCCTTTGGTGCACAAGTCATTCATTGACAGAATAAACTTGATTGATTCATTACTTCCTCATAGCTGTCCTAAATATGATGAGTGAGTTTTTTTGCTTTCTCTCTGCTTACTCCTGAAATCTCTTCTTTTCACTTTTGCTCTCTTAACTTCCCGAGTCTCCTTTTTTGCACTTTTTGTAATTCCATTTTGTCCAGCTTCAGCATTTCTAATTGTCGGATAACCATCTTTCCAGTTCTCTTTGCTATATTATTCAAGAAAGTTGCATTTCTAAATGCAAGAAGAGAGTGAAAAAGAATGTTTTTCTTCAAAGGCTTATCTGTATTCTCCTTTACAGTTTCCTGAATGGGCTGTTTTTGCTCTTTTCTTGCTTCAGATGCTCTGCCCATGACCCTACTGTGCTCCTTCCTCACTACTGAATAACTGTCAGAAGAACAGAAGATCAAGGTGAGATCATTCATATTACTAGGGCATCACCTCATTTTTTTTAAACTGCTTAAATAAAATTGTTTTTTGGGTGTTAATCATTTCAAATTTCTAGGGAAATTTAAAGTTAAATGTTTTTATCATTGCTTTGTATCTGTAAATGAGAAAGATAATAATAATAATAATAATAATAATAATAATAATAATCAACTTTATTTGTACCCCGCTACCATCTCCCCAAGGGACTCAGTGCAGCTTACATGAGACCAAACCCAAAGTACATCAAACAAAACATCAATAACACAACATTAATAAAACAGTCAATAAAATACAAATCATATAAATCACATAAACAAAAAACAACAATCAATAGTGACATATAAACAATGTATTGTCGAAGGCTTTCATGGCCAGAATCACTGGGTTGTTGTAGGTTTTTCCGGGCTATATGGCCATGGTCTAGAGGCATTCTCTCCTGACATTTCGCCTGCATCTATGGCAAGCATCCTCAGAGGTAGTGAGGTGACATATAAACAATTTTAAAAATGGCCGGCCCAAATGTAATAGATTAAAATTGAAAATATGCTGACGTGAACAGGTAAAATATAATTGGGATAGGATTTTTCAGAGAGAAACGAGGGAACGCAGTCCATCCTAAGTCAGTATTAAAGTGCATTATGAGGGCATATTGCTGAGAGTTTTCCTTATTCTGGGAAGGCACACTGGAACAACCACGTTTTCAGGCTCCTCCTAAAGACTGCCAACGTTGGGGCATGTCTAATGTCCCTGGAAAGTGAGTTCCAGAGTCGAGGGGCCACCACCGAGAAGGGTTAATGTATCATTCCTGACACTCTGGGTATGATGCTCCTTAAGCCCTTTCCACACAGCTGAATAAAATCTCACATTATCTGCTTTGAACTGGAATATATAGCAGTGTGGACTTAGGGCCCTTCCACAGAGCCATATAACCCAGAATATCAAGGCAGAAAATCCCACAATTTCTGCTTTGAGCTGGGTTATCRGAGTCCACACTGCCATCTATTCCAGTTCAAAGCAGAAAATGTGGGATTTTATTCGGTGGTGTAGAAGGACCTCAGGGRCCTTCCACACAGCCCTGTATCCCAGAATATCAAGGCTGGAAATCCCACATTATCTAACCCAGTTCAAAGCAGATGTTGTGGGATTTTCTACCTTGATATTCTGGGATATAGGGCTGTGTGGAAGGGCCCTCAGATTGCCCAGTTCAAATCAGATATTGTGGGATTTTCTGCCTTAATATTCTGGGTTATATGGTTCTGTGGAAGGGCTCCCAAACTGTAAAACCAATGATAAGAAAGAGGTCGAGGAGAAGAATTCCACTTTTTCTCTTAATAGAGACTAAAGTCTACACAATATGCAATATAAAACCTAAAGGCTATAAACATTATTATAGAATTAAACCAAACACTATTTAAAAAGAAACAGTTAAAGCAATTAAAATTTATTTATTTGTTTATTTATTTACTCCATTTGTATACCGCATTTATCAGCCTGGAGCGGCGACTCAATGCGGTTTACAGTAAAAATAAACAGTGAACAATAAATAAGATGCACATCGATAAACAATACACATAATCATCAACGCCTACTTAGAATCAGATCCCGTTCTCATAGTCCTTAATTCAATCCTTGTTCAATGCCGTCATTAAACACCAAGAACCTATTAAAAATACATAAACCTCCCCGACTCAGTCTTAAAACCTTTTTTCTTTAAAAGCCTGAATTGTTATAATTACTGTATATACTTGAGTATAAGCCTAGTTTTTCAGCTGTTTTTATAGGCTGAAAAAGTTCCTCTTGGGTTATACTCGGGTCAATGTTATTTAATATTTTACTCTTATTATTATTTTATTACATGTATTATTTGACTCTATTTATTATTATTATTGCATTTATTATTACATTAATAATAATAATGAAGGTTGCATTGCATTTTAAACAAACAAACAAACAAAACACAAAGTTTTCAAGCTTGGTAGTTGATTAAATGTCCTTTGACCAGTAGCTGGCCACTTGGAATACCTCTGGCGTTGCTGCAAGAAGGTCCTCCATTGTGCATGTGGCAGGACTCAGGTTGCATTGCAGCAGGTGGTCTGTGGTTTGCTCTTCTCCACACTCGCATGTCGTGGATTCCACTTTGTAGCCCCATTTCTTAAGGTTGGCTCTGCATGTTGTGGTGCCAGAGCGCAGTCTGTTCAGCGCCTTCCAAGTCGCCTAGTTTTCTGTGTGCCCAGGAGGGAGTCTCTCATTTGGTATCAGCCATTGATTGAGGTTCTGGGTTTTAGCCTGCCACTTTTGGACTCTCGCTTGCTAAGGTGTTCTAGCGAGTGTGTCTCTGTAGATCTAAGAAAACTATTTCTTGATTTAAGTCATTGATGTGCTGGCTGATATCCAAACGGGATGAGCTGGAGATGTCACTGCCTTGGTCCTTTCACTATTGGCTGCTACTTCCCAGCGGATGTCAGGTGGTGAAATACTGGCTAAACAGTATAATTTCTCCAGTGGTGTAGGGCGCAGATACCCCGTGATAATGCGGCATGTTTCATTAAGAGCCACATCCACTGTTTTAGCGTGGTGAGATGTGTTCCACACTGGTCATGCGTACTCAGCAGAATAATAATAATAATAATAATAATAATAATAATAATAATAATAATAGAAACTCCAGGGGCCATCCGGTTCAACTCCCTTCTGCCATACAGGAGAAGCACAATCAAAGTACCCCCAGCAGATAGCCATCTAGCCTATTATTATTATTATTATTAATAATAATAATAATAATAATAATAGCAGCAATAGGAGCAACCCCAGGAGTCCTGAGCGGTGGGAAGGGAATAGGGTTTTGGAAGCAAGGAAGGTGAGGGGAAAAGGGTTTTGCGGGTGAGGGGGAGGAGCAGGAAAGAGGAAGAAAAGCTTGAAGGGGGAGAGGGACGATGGAGGAGGAGAAGGAAGGAACCGCAGAGTCATTCAGTATGCTTCACAGGACCCCACGGGCTCCCAAGAGCACACTTTGAGAACCTCTGTCCTAGAGTCTCAACCAATTCAACATAGTTTGTGGCAGCCACAAAAACAAAGCTTCTGAAGTATAACAACTACTTTCAAAGTAAGTACCACACAATTGAACAGGAAATAACACTTTCAAACCAGGAACAGAACAATTTTCAAATTTTGTTACATACTGAAATATAGCTAGTGATCAGGAATGATGGATGATGTGATTCATCAACATCAGAAGGGCCATAGTTTCCCTTCTCTACTGTAGTAGCAATAGAAAGTTAAGAACATGTTCCAGTATCCTGAGGTGAGAGGCATTTTCAATTCAATCACTTGATTTATCTAAATTTTGTGTGTTTTCTAATAAACCCATCACCTGTGACCTCATCAGACAAAGAGTCCCTCCGTTTCTATTCACTTTAAAGACGGAGTCCCACAGAGCCCAGCAAACGACACAGGATTATTTCTTGTGGTTGTCCATGGGATTCCGTCTTTAAAGTGTATAGAAATGGGAGGATTGTGACGTCAGGGAGGAATTGACTCCAGTTCTCTCCCTGCGCATAGAAACAGCTAAAACCGGGTATTTTAAAGTGGGATAGAACTGTTGGATTTTAAGGCAGGATGGGAAACTATTGTTAATTTTTTCCTTTCCTTTGGAAACGGAAGGCCACTGAATGCCACACTTAAGAAGACCTCATCCTTGTGGGATGAGGTCCCTAGTTTCAGTTGTTGTATGCGGTGAGTTCCGTTTCAGCACTCAAGAGGCTTAGTTGTATTATGAATGGTGCTCTCTTACATTCAGACTGAATATATGAAGGAAGACATTGAGGGACCTGCTGAAGATGAGGCGACTGAATAGGAAGAAGACCTTGCATTTAATGAAAGAGCTGGATGCTTTTCCAAAAGTTCCTGAAAGCTACATAGAGACTTCAGCAAGTGGAGGAACAGGTAAGCTTCCTGATGGGCTTTTCTGTCTCTGAGCTATTGAGTCTGGTGAATGAGAGCAGTGATGGCTAGTTTTGGTTGGCTATGAAGCTGAAGCTAAAACAGCCACTCAATTTGTGCCAGCTGTTTGAGTAGATCCTCTCAGTCTTTCATGTAAAGCAGCTTCAGAAGTTTCATGTGAAGCAGAAAATTATTGTATATTTGCATAGAGACTGCATATGTCCACAGATATGGTGACATTTTGGACATATTTTCTAGCCACCCCCTCTCCCCTATTTTATGTGAATAAGAGACCTTTTTTGGCAGAAATTAATTCTTGCTCACTTCCTGTTTTAGAAGATGGCTTATCATGGGTCTAAATAGGCTCAAGGGGCAAAACCATGGTGAAAATATCACCCACATTCCCGTGGAACCTAAACTGACTCTGGGGGCCACATATGACTTACAGACCACACTTTATTTATCCTGTTTGAGGAATTTGTAGAGTATCTTGGTATGTAGAGACTGAATCAGACTGAATAGCTGGATGTACGAGGGTTGAATGAAAAGTAATGGCTCCACCTTCATAACTCCTCAATAGATGGCAGTACTGGTATGTGGCAGGTACTGGCTTGTTCAGTAGACTCTCCTCTATAGTTCAAATTTAGCGGGAAGCCTTAGCATTGAACGGTTGTGTTGTTAAAGTGTGACGTATGGAACCCTGTGCAGATGGTGAATCAATGCAACTTAAGCAACGTGCAGTCATTGAATTCTTGACAGCAAAGGAGATTCATCAGAGAATGCAATCTATTTATGGTGATTGTTTAGATGTGAGTACTGTGCATCATTGGGTGAGAAAGTTTAAAGATGTTGAGGTGGGAACATCTGACTTGCGTGACAAACAAAAAGTTGGACATCCTGTGACAGCAACCACCGAGTTTCACACGCAAAAGGTTGACAGATTGATTCAGGATGATCGTCATATCACTCAGAGAGAAATTTCAAGCGTAATCTGCATTTTGCAAGAATGTGTGGGTCACATTATTGCCTTGCTTGACTATCGGAAGATCTGTGCACGATGGGTACCCAGGATGCTGGCTTCTGAAATGGAAGCACACAGACTTGAAACTTCAGAGACTGGATCTCACCACCGTATGACATTCTCCATACAGTCCAGATTTAGCACCTTCTGACTTCCATCTGTTCCTGATAATGAAAGAAGATCTGCAGGGACATCATTTTGCTTCTGATGAAGATGTTGAGAAAACTGTGAGACACTGGTTGCGGAAACAGAGTGTCGACTTCTTCTGTGACATCTTCAGAAAACTTGTTCATTGTTGGCAGAAATGTATCCAATTGTCTGGTGATTATGTGGAAAAGTTAATAGTGGTAGTTAAAGAGCACATTCTAAGGATTATTTCTGCGTTTGATTTATTAAAATATTCCCACCCAAACCCAAGTAACGAAGGTAGAGGCATTACTTTTCATTCAACCCATTAATATATATTAATTGCAAATGTACACTCAATATCTTTTGTCCCCTCATGAATATGCTGAACTGACACTCTTATGTATGCTTTTTTCCCTTTTTGTTGGGTTTTTCTCAGTTTCTTTAATAGCCTTTACCACGATGGCCCTCTTAACCATAATGGAGTTTACAGTATATCGAGATACCTGGATGAAATATGAGTATGAAGTTGATAAGGACTTTACTAGGTAATTTGTTCCACTCATTTGCTCTTTCAGATCTTGTGTTGATTGTGTGCTCTTTTATTTTCTCAGAACGTATCTTGACTGCCTTAAGGCATTAACCTACACATCTCCATTTAATCTCTGGTGCATTGTAATGCCAACGCCCATGTACTTGAGAAGCTGGAAAACAAAGTTATTATCTATCTCAGAGGCAAACAGATAGAAGGAACATGCTTGCCGTAGTCGTAGAATGCAGCAGAGAGTGGGAAAATCCCAGCATATTTATGAAGGGTCCAATCTGTTCAAAGACGGAGTAAGAATAACAGATTTGCTTGTGTGCATTAATTGCTCTGACGATGTGGGAATCATTTCTGTATGGCTGATTGCCATTCCCCTCGATCCAAATCAGCAAAATAGAATTTAATTGGTTAGGCAATCACTTTTCGGATGTTACCTATTTGCCTTCTTACCCATGTTCCTTTCAACCTCCTTGGCCACAGATTGCTGGTATTACTGTAGGAACAAATATGTGTTCCAGCCATATGGAAATACTTTCACATGAGTTGTGCAGCCCCAGTATCCCCAATTTATCCATCTGACAAAATATGTCATTTCTTGGCATTTTCGAGCTCCTCCAATAGTATTCTCTATAGTATTCTCAATCCCAAATCTTTCCTTTCAATAGAGTTTGCTGTTATCTGCTATTTCATGTATCAATGCAAATTCTGGAAACGTATGCCCCACAGATACGGGTTGTACTACACATAACTCACCTCTTTTAAAAAAGATTTGATTACCATTGGGTTTTTTTGTTCCAGAATATTCCACTATATTTTCTGTCTTTGTTGCTTAAGGCAGAGAATGGTATTTATTTATTTATTTACGACATTTATGCTCCACCCTTCTCACCCTGAAGGGGATTCAGAGCTGCTTACAAGATACACACACACACACACACACACACACACACACATACATATAATGTATTATATTATTAGCATAGTACAGTATCAGTATTATATATTACTATATTGTATTATGCTATTGTTAGTAGTATTACATGTAATATAAATATATAATTACAATATATTATTATTTTTAGCCTTATATTGTATTTCATTATAATATTATCAATATTATATGTATATACAATATATTACATTACATTATATTATATTATATTACTAGCTGTCCCCTGCCACGCGTTGCTGTGGCCCACATGGGGGTTCTGTGTGGGAGGTTTGGCCCAGTTCTTTCGTTGGTGGGGTTCAGAATGCTCTGTGATTGTAGGTGAACTATACATCCCAGCAACTACAACTCTCAAATGATAAAATCCATTTTTTGAGTGATGGTCACTCCTTGGGTTAGTAGGTGTCTTGTGTCCAAATTTGGTGTCAATTCGTCCAGTGGTTTTTGAGTTATACTAATCCCACAAACGAACATTACATTCTAATTTATATAGATTTCACCCACATATATGGACTTCTTTACCATGTCATTCCCTGTTGTTTTTGTTGCTTTGGGGAACCATCAACTTCACGGCACTCGGTTGGAAGCTGATGCAATCTTAATGTTTTGGAAAATAACGCATGAAAAAGATGTGTTGTGTATTTTGGCTCTTTGGTTTGTTGTCATGGAGACAATTGAGCAAAGTGTGCATCAGGCTAAGCCATGCTGGATCAATCCCAAAGACCTTTCTAGGCCAACATCTTGCTCACAAAGAGACCAACCAGATGCTTTTGGGAGACCCGCAAGTTGGACATGAAGGCAATAGAAGCCTCCAATGTACATTCTTAAGTAATTGTTGTTGAGAGGCAGATTGCCTTTGATAATGAAGGCAATACATCATCATCATGGCTAGAAGACACTGATAGCTTTACTCCCTGGGATAATAACAATAGATAAGTTGTGCGTTTTCAGATGTTCAGCTCCTTAGGAAGAAGTCCCAGGGTAAAAAGCAATCTTACACAGTTTCTTCTCTCTATTTGTTAAAATTGCCACCGTATTGCAGGAGGGTATGAAGCTGCTACTATTTCCAACCCTAACTGGAGCTCTATATTCATTTAACTCTTCTTTCGGATATTTTAACAACTACTGTGATAGCTCAAGATCTGGTAGACTCCGAAATCACGTATTTTAGGAATTATTGCCAGAGTGGGTTTCAGGCAGTGACTCTTTCAATGTTTGCAAACATACGCAGAGTGGGCTGAAAGTGGCGCATATGCACCAAAGTGTATGGTTCTTTAAATAGAAAGTCAAACCTGCTTCCTTGCTTTACATCCTCTTAAGGATGCGAATGCAATTAAGGATGAAGCAAATTAAGCTGTTCATGTTCAGCTAGCTTAATTAAGGCTTCTTACAAGCAGCGTTTGTTTCTTCAAGATTGACTCCAGTTGTATTAATAGCTGCCCAAGGGAAATTCTTGCCCTCTCTCTTTGCTTTTATTTAAATACAGTGTTCTGGAGAAATTGGGTATTTGTCAGGCTTTGTGTATAAAAGTATGGAGCAGAACATCACACAACTTGGAGCCCAGAATCAACAGGTTCTCCAGATAGATTTTGGAAATCTACGGAGGTTGTGAATGAGAAAATTGCTGCTTCTGCCAATGCAAATACTCTCTATACTCTACAGTTCGCCCTCCATATTAAAATAATCTATATAAATAAATCTATATAAATAAAAATGCAGAGTCCACTGTGAACACTGCAAGTTGCTAACATTCACAAAAATATTTAGGTGGGATTCAGAAACCCATTTTTTTAGAACTTAAGGGGAGCCCCTGGTGGCGCACTGAGCTGCTGAGCTTGTTGACCGAAAGGTTGCAGGTTCGAATCTGGGGAGCGGCGTGAGCTTCCGCTGTCAGCCCTAGCTTCTGCCAACCTAGCAGTTCGAAAACATGCAAATGTGAGTAGATTAATAGGTACCGCTCCGGCAGGAAGGTAACTGCACTCCATGCAGTCATGCCAGCCACATGACCTTGGAGGTGTCTATGGACAACGCCGGCTCTTTGGCTTAGAAATGGAGATGAGCACCACACCCCAGAGTCGGACACGACTGTACTTAATGTCAGGGAAAAACTTTACCTTACCTAAGGGGACCCTATTTGATATCGAGACCTACAGTTTAAGAAGTAGTGATCTAGAGGACAACATTATGCTTAGGTTACAAATAATGTGTTGCAAGAAAGCCTAAACATCTATTCTTTGGGCTAAAGTAACGTACCAGTTATTTTTAATCATTCCTAAAATATATCAGAGCTAGAATTCGTTGAAACTTATGAAGACGCAGGTTCGCAGTTTGGGTGTGATCCTGGACTCATCGCTGAGCCTGGAACCTCAGGTTTCGGCGGTGACCAGGGGAGCATACGCACAGTTAAAACTTGTGCACCAGCTGTGCCCATATCTTGGGAAGTCTGACTTGGCCACGGTAGTCCACGCTCTGGTTACATCCCGTTTAGACTACTGCAACGCTCTCTACGTGGGGTTGCCTTTGAAGACGGCTCGGAAGCTCCAACTAGTCCAACGCTCGGCAGCCATGATACTAACAGGAGCGGAGCGCAGGGAGCATACAACTCCTCTGCTGCACCAGCTCCACTGGCTGCCGATTTGCTACCGGGCTCAATTCAAAGTGCTGGCGCTGGCCTATAAAGCCCTAAACGGTTCTGGCCCAAGCTACCTATCCGAACGTATCTCTGCCTATCAGCCCGCCAGGACCCTAAGATCTTCTGGGGAGGCCCTGCTCTCTATCCCGCCTGCTTCACAGGTGCGGCTGGCAGGGACGAGAGACAGGGCCTTTTCTGTGGTGGCCCCTCGGCTGTGGAACGCCCTTCCTATGGAGGTTAGATCAGCCCCCTCGCTAATGGTGTTTCGAAGAAGATTAAAAACTTGGATGTTTGAACGGGCATTCGGATAAACAGTGCAATCAATGTGATGATTACAGGAATGGAAATATGGACGACGAATTGGATCACGACTCTAGTTATGAGATGTATTGTGTTGTTTATTGTTGTGTCAATATTGTATACTATGCTTTTATGGTTTTAAATTATATATCACTGATTGATTTTTATCCTTGTTGTAAACCGCGTTGAGTCGCCTGTTGGGCTGAGAAACTGCGGTATACAAGTAAATAAATAAATAAATAAATAAGTATACAAGGAAATTGCGATATATTGCAATATAGGATACATTTGAAAATTGGACTGTTTTTCTAGCTTCACCTCATATTTTAGTGAATTTTCTTAGTATATGTTACGTACTTGTATCTCAAACATATGTTAATTTTGTGTCATGTGATACATAAGCAATTATGTTTTGCAATTGACTTATACAAATGTTTTCCTTTTTCTAGTAAATTAAGAATCAATATCGACATTACTGTTGCAATGAAATGTCAATGTAAGTATTCTCTTCCAATATAATTCTATGGTTTTGAGTTTTAGATTATTGTTTTCTCACAATAGCTTAGCAGTAATGGAACAGTATAGTATCTTATCTTCCTACTTCCAGCAAGAATTGCTCATGTATAATAATTTGTCATGAATTGTGCTGTCTTTTTTCTGGGTCTTGAGATCTTGCCAAGACAATAAACTATTTCGCTGCTGATTGGATCAATTCCGAATATTAGAATAACTATATGATTTAATGGCAGTATTTAGAAGTTGCATAAGGAAGCAAATAATTATACACTATCTTTCCCTTGGAAAAAATATTTTTAAGCTTTGAAATGCATCATTAATACATTGGGGCATTCCAAACGTCTTAAGTGCAAAGTTATTGCTTTATTCTCAAATTATACTATGTAACACTATTTTTGTTCCTGGGTTATAAATGTCATTTCCTAATTTGTTCCGTCATAAAAACATGGAAAAGGTTTTTTTAGCTGCAAAAACTTTGGTTTTGTGGGACATCCTGGTGCACATTTTGCGAAAGTTTTTCAACAGAGTTTGTGATAGGCACAAAAATGAAGTTTCTGGAGTGTAACAACTACTTTCAAATTAAGTACTACACAATTAAGCAGGAAATAGCATTTACAAACCAGGAACATATTTTTTTTCAATTTTTGTTACATAGTGTTTTAGCTGAATTGTTCTGCTTTTTCTCTAGGGTAAATTCTTCGCCCTGTACTAAATTTATTTTTCCTAGGAAATTATAAGATATTTAATTTAATAAGTATTTTTTCTATTGTCTGTAGTTGTTTGGGGTGCATCCACATTGTAGAATTAATGCACTCTGACACCACTATAACTGCCATAGCTCAGTGCCATGGAATCCTGGGATTTGTAGTTTTACAAGGTTTTTAGCTGTCTCTTCTGATAGATGTTGGTGCTTCACTAAACTACAAATCCCAGGATTCCACAGCATTGAGCCATGGCAGCTAAAATGCATTAATTAAAATTGCATTAATCCTACAGTATAGAATATATTCATTTAGTTGGAGCTATCTGCAAAGACAGAAAGGGAAAGTTCATGATGCCAAATAATCAATGCATTTAAGAAGAATATCTTTGAGAAGAAAATAAATTTCATATAATAAAAGAAAAACAACAGAGGTGCAGACTGAAAACCATAGCTATGCTTAGATAAATAAGGAAATGAAACTGTGCATTCCTTGACTACGGGCATCCTTTTTTTGGTTGAACTAGTACACTTTGCAATTTTCTATCCTTATTTGCTAATCACAAATGCCGACAGCTGTCTGCGACAACAAGAAACATAATATGCTGTTGTTTGAGAAGGAGCATTGACCTTTCCAAAGTGCTCATTAGAAAGAAATGTGTTGTTTATCTGCCTTCTGTGTTGATGGTTGGCTGGTTTTGAAAGCTCCTGTTTCACAATAGCTTTAATGGGTGAGCCGGCACTGCAACACACTGAGATCCCATTAAAGCAAAATAAAAGATTTTCAAAAAATCATTAGGCTTCAGAAGAGCAGGTATCAGTTTTGCAGGCTTATTTCTGTACTTACCGGTTCATTTCAATTTTTGAAACAGATATTGGTGCCGATGTGCTGGATTTGGCAGAAACAATGGTTGCCTCTGCTGACGGATTATCTTATGAACCAGTACGTTTACTCCATTTCGTTCGTATAAGGTGTTTAATATTGAGTTTTTGAAAGTTCATTCCAAAATCTTCGCCTTGTTTTCTTGAATTTGTTTTGAAAACCCATGGTAATAAATTATGTGATAGACCTCACTACCTCTGAGGATGCTTGCCATAGATGCAGGCGAAACATCGGGAGAAAATGCCTCTAGAACATGGCCATATAGCCCGAAAAAACCTAGAACAACCCTATGTGATAGATTTTCACACTGGAACTGTCTGTAACTATTGGTTGTGCTAAAGCAATGGTTCCCAACCTGTGGTCCATGGACTACCAGTGGTCCCCAAGAACTAAAATATGGTCCGTGGCCTCACCGTTACTACACCATTGCAACGAGAGCAACTGGTCTTGTGAAACCCTCTTATAGTGCCAACAGGGTTGTCGGGAGGGGAGAGGCTGACTATCCATGAAAGGCACGACAACAAGCCTTTTAACTGCTGCTTCCCCTCTTCCCTCCCCCTGAGTGGATACATAACATGTGGCACCTGGAAGCAGGGGTGTCTTGGTGTGTTCATGTTTAGGCATATTCCTTTTGTTATTTGGAGTGCTGACTCAGAAAATTACATTGGATAGACCACATTTATTTATTTATTTATTTCACCGTTTTCTATACCGAGCTTCTCAACCTCATTGAGGGACTCAGCCCGGTTTCCAGCCATAAAAACATATACACTCATTAAAATATCATATATCACAATTACAAAAACAACTTTAAAAACACTATATATAAAACTACAGTGGTCACATCAGCTCTAGATTATTAAATATGGTTTTTTGTGGGTGAGCAGATGGCAACTACTGGATGGCATATGTTCTGTATCAGAAACTAGAGCTGATGTGGTCTATCCAATCCAATTTTCTGAATCAGTACCCCAAATAACCAAACCAAATTTAAAGTTGATCAAAAAACTGATTTGTAACCCTTTTTGTATTAATGTTGGAGAGTGGTCCTTGATCAAGTGTGTTTCGCAGAGCGTGTTTTAGCCTAATCCCATGCAAAAGACATACAGGAAAAAACAGAAAAAAAGTTACTCTCATCAGTAGAGGCATAAACTTGCAGTGTTGCATACAAAATCAAACAGTGCAATAAACTTGCATAGTCCTTGTAAATAACACAGAATAAGGCTTCTTCATCTTCATTCAAATGAGAGAGCAAAACATAAACCTTGAGTAAATAGCTATTAAATTTTTTATCATTTAGTTACAGCTGCAATAATTGTTCTAGCCAAAATGTGGAAAAATAAGGAAACACCAACAGTACAACATTGGACCCTAAAAGTAATGGATACCATGAACATGGATATGCTTACTCAAAAAATGTCAAGTAAC